CCCCAGCCAGCCTTGCTGGCTGGGGAATTCTGGGAGTTGAAGTCCACACATCTTAAAGTTGCCAAGCTTGAGAAACACTGTAGTAAACCTTTAAGTTGCCATTTATCGCTGTGTTATTTATAGTCGCTAAAGTTGAAAGGGAACATTGTAACTTTATTGTTTCCTGTGCGGTAAACTATTACCACTTTGTTTATATTGGCATTAGCCCAGGAAGTAATATACCTAATTATGGATGAATTCAGCATGTTTCCGGGATAAGTTCTTATATGCTTGCGTCTTCACAAAAACAACGAAAAAAAGGTCTTTCATAAACGTCCTCAAGCAAGATAGCCAGGGTCGCGCCTGAGGTTTTGGAAGACCATTCCCATCATTTCCGGTTGTTGCCCATGCTGAGTTCAGAAGATTGGCAGAGCACCAGACTCCTTGGCCCTTGATCGAAAGCACAAATGAGCTATTTTAAATGACTCTCCCGGGGTTTGTTAGGTATCATTTTTAACAAGAGCGTCTCTGAATGTATTCGTCGTGTGAGTTCAGTTAGCGTTATTCCTTCTTTAGCCATTTAGAATTGAGAACCTGAGAAATGGGCTGGAGCAACCTCACACACAGAGTTGGAAGGGGATTCCAGGCTCCCTTGCTTTCAAGAAGTCCGTTGCAGGCCAGTTTTTCATCTGCCTTTTCTCCAAGAGTTCATACGCTACTCATTCACATTCTTCCCAATGAGATTATGAGAGAGAGCTGATTCCCAGATTTAGCTGAACGTGTTATCTGATACCCATCAGAGGCTCTTTTTATGGCTGTCTTATTAACAAACCTGCAAAGGGTCTACACTGAGAGATGATTGTGTGGTTCTTCTGCACATTGACCTTGATCCATTGATAACTGGCTTTAGTGTGATTTAATTCACTAGCGTGAATTAATGCTTAGGGCAAAATCCACTGACAGATTTATTTTATTTTATAGGAGGCGGCAGCTCTTGTAAGTATTTGAGGTTTTGAAATTATATCTGCCTAGGACTGATATCGTAGCTTTGCAAAATACACTAAACCAGGTCTAGCAAGATGTCCCAACACAGACCTTATGTTAAACTGTGGTGAAAAGTGAGCACTTTGGGCACCATGTATATAACCAAGACTTGTTCTTGACTTACCTGATCTGCCTAGAGCTGCCTTTAATTATTGACTTATTTATTTATAATTTTGTATCGTGACAACCCAGATTAATGGCTAGTCTACCGCTAGGCAGCCATTAGTCCAATAAGAAAATGAGATTGGTGGTAAGAACAGCTATAAATCCCATCCATTTCATTAGCAGCAGCACTTCTACTTCTCTTACCCTTCTTTTACCATCAATGAGAATGCAAAATATGACTTCTAAATGTCTAGGAACTGGAAGGGAAGGTTTATCTTACCCACCTTGCTCATGGTGGACTTTGGTGAGTCTCCCAGAAGGATCCTGTGCCCTGGGAGTTACCTAAGATTGGTAGTTGAAGATATTAGCTTTAATCTCAATTAATCACTTTACTTTATGTCCCTCCCTCTCCACCTGTTATTTTTGTTTTTCAGCCATCTACAATTACAAAGCAGTCCAGGATGTGGAACTCTCTTTACAGGTTGGAGATACAGTTCACATACTGGAGATGTATGAAGGTAAGCAGGCTCTGGATTGCCAAGAGGGAATGGGAAGGGCTCCTAGGTCCAGTGGCAGATTCTGAATTTTAATGTTTGAAGGGATGGATCAACAAACTAGAAAGACCAGTGAAATCCCAGATGATGAAACCCACAGTTATAAAAATTATTGCTGTATCAGTTCCAGAGAGAGCACTCCAAGATCTGAAGCAGGAATTTCAGATACAAGAAGCTGTGTAGATCAGCATTGTTTTTCCCAACAGTGGCCAGACAGTTGCTCTATAGTCCAGAAGCAGCGCGTGAATGCAAAATACCCTTTTTGCTATGCAGAAAGCCAGTCAGAAGACACAATGAAAACTCCTTAATCTCACAACACATGGACAGACACAACCATAGTTTCAACTAGGAAACTAGCAATAACTTAGACCAAGCTAAATCCAAAAACACGAGGGAATTCCTGGAAGCCTGTTATTCAGACAGGTCAGCCTTCAACAGGCACATAGAGATAAACAACATTTACACACCATTCAAAAGAGACAATAAAAAGACAGGCACATAGAGATAAACAACATTTACACACCATTCAAAAGAGACAATAAAAAGACAGGCACATAGAGATAAACAACATTTACACACCATTCAAAAGAGACAATAAAAAGGAAACAAAAAGGCCAGAACATCTCCTTGCCAGCAATCAACACCCAGATAAGCAGGGATTAACACCAGAATTAGCACCAGACAATCAAGCAGTAAACAACAGCCTAATCTAGGAACTACCAAGAAAAAACAACACCCCCACCAACATTGACAGGGCAAGCTACTGTATATAAACAGAGAGCACTGAAGATGTTACCTAGTGGGGTAACAAAACATCTGCAAGAAAACAATCAAGCTCAGAGAACCCCATGGGCTATGAAGTTTTATGAAGTAGAATTGTACAGGTACTCCAGTACAATTGCACCATGATTATTTTGGCACAAGCATGGATGCATGTGAGAACAACGGCAAAAAGGAGCAGTTCTGAATTAGTCCAAAATTCTTGGAATACTCAAAGGTAACTTTGAGAAGCCCACAAGCAGGTCATGATGGCCACAGATGTAGGTGTAATTGCATCTGAACATAGAGTCTCTGTTTTGCTTTTGTAATTAAATGTAATCTTGAGTCTGAGTTCAGTTCTGGTATTCTAATCATTGTGATAAGTTAGCTTAACCTGACGTTTTCTCAGCCTGGGACTGTTTGACTGATAGGATTGTAGTCCAGCGTGTCTGGAAGATGATACATTGGGTCAGTAGGGAAGGTTGAGGATCCCCTTAATGGAATTTGTACTGACTTGCCCGAGTTTATATGGCATTTTGTGGCTTTTGATTGATCGGTAGTAATGGATGCCTTGTTGTACAGCTAACTCTCTCTGCTAGAATGGATCAGTGGCTTCATGCATGATTCATCCCGTGCTTAACTTCCAGTGTGTTTCATACACTTCTTGAAAGTTGCTATTTCATTGTAATGCTCCAGCAGACCAGAGAATACAATTTGAGCTAATCCACCTTGGCTGGAAAGAGAATTGAGTCACATGAGCATTGCAAAGGGATGCTGAGTCTCCATTTTTATGGTGCCCTCCATCCTGCCAGTGTTAAATGAGGAACTGCTCGCTTTGGAGTCACCAGCAAGTCAAGCCAGCTGCTGGTTTAGCACCTTGTCAAGGCCTTTAGTTTATTTTCATTCTGGGTTGACCTTGACGCTGGAGAGAGCCAGTTAGAGCTTATGTGTCAAAAGAGAGTTTGTTACTGATGCTGCATTTGCAGATGAGGGGAGGGGAGGGGAGGGGAGGGGAGTCCTTCCTGGTGGCAGATTTAATATGGCAGAGGATCAGGGTATTAGCTAACCTTGCATGTGGGAAAGAGAGACAAAGCAAAACATGGTTGATCTCCTTCACCAAGGAACCACTTAAACCAGGTGGTTAGATCAGAATCAGCACTTCCTATCAGGAAGAACAGTGAGAATATTGTCTTCTGCCCACAAGCAGGGGAACCTGATGTTAATCCCTGCCTTGGGAAACCTGCCCATAAGCAATGCTCTTTCAAAGTACTGTTGAAAAATGTTTGGTCTTCTCCCAAGGCGATGTGCAGCACTGGGGAGTCAAGGAGAATATTCTGTTTTGTTGAAAGAAAGGGAGGGAGTCGTTCTTCTGAGGAAAGGGGGGGGGGAAGCACTTTTTCAACCAAACTACCACTTTTTTATTTTGTCTCTTTTTCTCATATGCAAGGTCAGCTAATCCTCTGATTCTTTGGCATATTGAATCTACTGCTAGGAGGTCATCCATTCCCCTCAACTCAGTCTTCGAATAGAGTAGCAGTTACAGAAAACGTCTCTCTGTTTTTCTTTCCTGCAAAGAGAGAGAGACCAACAACTGAACTGAGATTGTAACCAGCATCAAGGATGAAAGCTCCTGTTCCTGTCACTATATGGGATCAGGTTCTTTTGAGTAAAGAAGTATGCTCACATATAAGTCTGTCTTTGATGGACCTTTTAGAGAGGCTGAGCTGGAGGAACTTCCTCTAAAGCCTTTTCCAGTCGGCTGGTGGAGAATCTGTGCATCTATATAGGTGGGCTAAGTGCTAAATTGAACATGTATGGGATGCTGGGACAATTTGAGGGGTTATCCTCAAAGTTTCCCCTTTCTTCATCTACTTTTATCCAACTAAAATCTTGTGTATGGGTTGAGTCATTCATTCAAATAAATAAGGCCAAAGTTCAGAGGCTAATTCGAGAGAGAGAAAAGTTTCCTTATTTAGCTGATGTGTGCAAAATCTGAAGTCCAGACTAAGGTCCAGTTAATGGCTGACTTCTGTGTTATTGATAGAGGAAAACAGGTCTCCGCTGGTAATTTATTTACTTATTATTTTCGAGCATCCCCAAATTTCCGAGATCCTTATATCACTGATGTAACTTTGGAAGCCCCCAAACTCGGCTTCTCTGCTCTTATCAATCACATCTGCCTGTCTGTAACTGCTTTCTTAGCAATTGTATATGCAGGAGGATACACCTTTTCTACGAATCCTGATGCAGCCAAAATGATAACATCCACAACTTGGTGAAGGTTTTAGAAAAACAGAAAAGAAGTAAAAGGAAAGGAAAAACATAGAGGGAAGATTTTGAATGAGTAACTGCTCCCATTCAAACGAAAGCTAAACAAAACATTGAATGCTGAGTATCTGGGGGCAAATGAAAATCATACCAGGGGAGCATCATGGAGAAAAGGCACATCTGGCCAGCTGGAGACCTAAATAACTCCTGATAGCATCTCTTGGCATCACATCTGTTTTATGTCTAACTTGTTTGGTTGAATTCCTGGGCTTTTTGATTTGGAGTCTTCTGTATATCTGGCCATGAGATGCTTGGAGCCACTGTGTGTATATGTCACAATGACTATTGTGGCCCATGGCAGTATTTATCAAATGAGCTGAAACTGGTACAATTTGTTCCAGGCTGAAAAGGGCCGGAGCTGGCATCTGGCTTGTTTATTTCTCAATGACGACTGTTCACAGCAATGTCAGCATCCATCTGGGAAACACCACTCGCCTTGTTTATAGCTTTGCGTGATTGTTTGAATGGAGTTGGGTGAGTTGGGTGAGCCCTGTTAAGATCTCTCCCTCCCTCCCTCCCATCCCCAGAAACAGCAATCCAGCACAGGACCATTTTATGGTTGTTTTCGCAGCTCACCATTTCTTACTCTGATTTGATTTTTTCTAAAAAAGGGGGGAAAAGTACACTGAAGACATCAGCAGGTTATATTAAGTTTTCAAGTTACATGTATACAGCATTTTCCTCCAAAACAGACCTGAACATGTACATCTCTCTGGCTAGCTAACCATAGCTTTATGTATCTCAAAACCTCCTTTATTATATTAATTTTCCTTCCCTTCCCACTTCTCCTGATGCTCCTTTTTGTATAGATTGTTACCAGTATTACATTTTTCCATAGTAAGAAGTTTTCACAGCCACTTAAGAATTATGTGTGTGTGTGTGTTTAAATGTAGTTAAAAACAAGCCATATGTTATTTTATCACAAACTCTTTCAGTTTGTTCTAATGTCAGTAATCCCATGAGACAAGTCATCAGCAAGGTTTTCTGTTTCAGCAGGCCCCTAACTAAGGGATTCTAGTTTTAGCTATTCTTGTCGTCCTGGCTAGTGAATTGGATCTTTAAGACTGCAGCCATGTTATTAGACTTCCCCAATCTGGTGGCCTCTGGACAGGTTGAATGACTGCTACCATAATCCCCAGTCAACATCTGAATGATAAGGGATATAGTCCAAAACTTATAAACAGTCCCAGAAGGAGAAAACTTCCATATATGACCTTTTAAGTAATTGAATTCAGACCTGGATGGAATTTCAGCTTAAATCGTGTTGAAGTTTAGACTGTAATTTAAGCATCTCACCTGCCAGAAATTCTGACTGAATGTTGTAGAAGTTGGTTCCAAGTAAAAAATGCATGTTTTGTAAAATCATTTTATTAAATTCTGAAAATGATTACTGATTATAAAGCAACTTTTTGTTTGTTTTATTTTTCTTCTTCTTCTTTGACAGACTGGTACAGAGGATACAGTCTTCGAAATAAATCCAAAAAGGTACAACAGCCCCAAAGATTTTTTCCCCTTTGTGTATATACATTAATTCAATTAAATCTTGCTCTCGCTCTTCAAATTTATTATGGCATTTCTGATGCAGCTTCGTCTTCCATCAGTCTTCTAACATACTTCTTTACGCTCAAGCTTTTCCTAAGCCGTGGTAGCATTTTTAAAAGAGTATTTCTGGGCGTGACGCATTCTGCATTTTTGTGACCATGCTGTCTAATAACTGCTTTTAAATCAGTATTGGAAACCACTTAGTACTTAGCCATGCGATGATTCAATATTAATTAAGCAAAAGAGACAGAAAGCAAACCACCGTGTTTCTGGCCTTTGTGATTTAAAAAGCTGGCTTGCTGAGGTCATGAGGGCGTGGTTTGGTGAAAGAAGCAAGGAAGGGATCAAGAAGGCATGCCAGTGGTTAGTACATAGGATGAGAACATGCTCTGTAGCTCTTTAGGTGCCTTGAAGATTGGTAGAAGCAAAATGGATTATGAAGAATAAATTAAGGGTGTGATGAAACTATCCTGCGGGGTTGAGTTAAACAGTGCAAACCTTGTTAACAGCATGATAGTCTAACAGCAGGTTCTTTTAACAGGAGCAAACTCCAAAACAGCAAAAGCCTGGATTAGAAGTAGAACCAGTTTGTGGATAATTGGACTAATATGCTAAACGTTTACAGCATCCAACCTATGGATCACATGCAGCCACCAACATATGGTCTCCCAGAGTCACCAGAGCTGAACATTCCAGTCTCTCTTCCATCTTGGCAGGTTTAAGGGGCAAACTGAGGTCTTAAGCTTTGCAGAGTTTAAGACACCCATAGGACTTTGTCAAAATCCCAGCCTCCCCCTCCCCATTTTTTTTTTTAATATATATTTTCATGGGCAAAATGGAGACTAAGCCTATGCAAGGTTTACAACCCCACCTTTGTAGGTAGAATTCTTTCCATCTTTTCGAAATCCCCCCATCGATGAGTTTACATCTCATTTGGTATCCAGCTTCTGTTCTTTGGGAAGAGTCTTTACATAGGCTAGGCAGACCAGTTATTGCTCTGAGTTTCAGTTCATGCTGAAGGCTTGCAACAAATGACAGTATTTCAAAATCTAGCATTCTGCTCCTTGTAGAAAGCCTTTTCTGTGATTGCATTTGCAATTTGTGCAAGTGGGTATTTCAACAGCAGATATAATAGCTGTAAATTTACTAGAATTCAGGGCATCTGTTGCCAAAAGTTTAACCAGTGCTATAATTCATTGTATTCTGCAAAACACTGTGAACGACACACCTGGAGAGAAAATTTCCAACCAAGCTTGTTAGTGGTTTCAAAAACTTTACAGGCTCTAGTAAGATTTCTACTTGTTGGTTGACTTAGTGATATATGCAACTGTTAATACAGCACTGTTCATTATAGCCAAAAAATATTATAAGCCAACATGGACAGTACCCTGTCATTAGGGTAATCTATGATATGAACTGACAATTTAGAGAACAACTTCTTTCTTGAAAGCCTTGATTATGCATGTTGGTTGGAATGGAAACTTTAAAAAAAAATCAGTTTAAAAAATGCAGGTTGGTGTCGGTTTGCATTTAAACCAGGCTGGGCCTTTTCTTTTTTTTTTCCTTGCAGTTTTGAGGTCACACACACTTCACTTAACTGCTTTGGTGGTTAAGAACTATAGAGAATGTGGGTGTGTTGTGATGATGCAAATTAAAGAGGACGTGGCACATTTTTCAGTGTTTTCCTCTTATTGGGAGCTCAACATCCCATTTATTGTTTCTGGAAAGGTTCTGGTGGCTGCCACCAGGAGTCCATGAGTTGCATGTCATTGGCACGTTGTGGGTTGCGCCCCCCAATTTAAGTAAGTAACTGTAACTAATTTAAGAATTTAAGGAAAGTAAATCTTTCTGACAGATCCGTAAGGTTTTCCTTATTTGGTACAATATTTAAGGGGCACAATTTTAAATTGCAATTGAATACTATTCATTTTGTGAGGTGTAATAGGGAGAAATGATCTTCTGTTTTCCAAATTCATGTTCTAAGAACCACATCCAGATCCTGTGCTGACTGGAAAGGTGACTTTAGATTTCCCTGGCGAGCAAGCCAGAATCTAACTACAGTAGCTACGTTACGTTCTTGGATACCTCCATTGCATCACTGTGGGATAATCAATGCTTTCAACTGCTTTGGAGCAGTTTCTGTATTGATGCTCTGTGTGAATGTATCAAAGTGTCACTGGGTCTCTTGATCTGTGGAAATCATTGGCCATGGCAAAGTAAAATTTGCAAGTGGCTGGTGATCTCATTCTTAATGTTTTCCTCAGATCTTTAATTCACAGCTCATTGTCTTCCTGGAAAACTTTCTTTCTGAAGAGCTATGGGTGAAACACTATCAGTTTTTGAGCTGCTAATGGTCAGTAAACAATTCTTCCACCCACAGAAAGGATACTCAGCTAGGATATCAGAATATAGGATCACTAGAAGCAGTGAAAACCTCCTTTAAAGCAGTCCAGGCAATCTTTTCCTGCTGGTGGTCAAAAAAGAGGCTTAGAGGCATTATGGAGGGGTGGGTCTGAAATATTTGATTTTGGGGGATGCAGATTTTCCAGCACTGACATATGAGTTATGTAAGGACGTAATGATCTGCTTTGTCTGTTATTTCTGCCCCAAACTTGAAAAATTGTCTTGTTTCGCCTCTGAATGTTGGTGGCTTGCTTTTGGGAAGGACGGTAACTTCAGTTCATATCTCTTGATTTATCCAGAACAAAGCCTATACCAATGCTGTTTTGGTGCAAATGCAGAGGTTGCTTGCTTGGTGGTGACATTGGCTTTGGAACTTAAAAATTCAATCTATATTTGGACATCAAATCAAAGCATGAAGAAGCATTAAAAAAAATCAATTCAGTAGAAGATTGTTGATTTGGATAGTTTATGTGATCAACAAGGAAGGGGGCTGTCTCTGTGATTACAATGCCTAGAAAGCCAGTGAAAAGTTGGAGGCAGAGTTAATTAAAGGAAAGGATGGGGAAGCTGCATAGCTTAGGTTTTTATTAGAGTTTTGCTGCTTGTGAAAGTAACTGCCTCCTCTGGGACAGTTTTATCGTCTGCATACGATTAAGACCAGCAGTGAGAACTGGAATTCTCTAATGCTTTTAGGGGAAACGATTTCTTCTCTTCTCCTCTTCCTCTTTTTCAAATTACCATATTTATTAGCACGATCATTACTAATGACATTAGAGAGATCTTTCTTTCCTGGATTAAAATTGCAGGCCCAGCTTCCTTGAGCATTAAAGTTTATGACTTCTAAAAGCTACCAGTAGTAATCAATTAAGATTGCAGTGAGAGGAGTACTTAGTGGAAATACTGCCCTTTCTCTGCCAGAATACAAAGAATAGAAAACTCATCATCCCAGAATATTATTTGTTGTGGTTTTGGGTAGCTCAGTGATGCTACATGCTATCTTTCCTACTAAAAACATTCAGGATGATTAGGACATCAGTAGAGGGCAAGTTCAATGTCTCTTGTACTTTTCATGCTTTGGATCCCTAAATGTAGAGGAGGTAGCGTCCTGTAGGTATTCCAAGAGGGAGGTCTAGTGTTAGGGGCAGCAAGAGAGAAAAAAAGCAAAGGTGTGGAAGGAACATGTAAATAAGGAAGTGGACCACTTTGCCTCTAATAATTCAGAGAACTTCACATAACCAATATTATAGTAGACAAGAACTTATCAGTCACTCTTCTCCCTTATTGTAGTAGAGGAAGAAATGGATCATCAAGATCATCTTAAAATCAATCATCTGCCACTTATTATAAGACGTAATAGTGATTTTGCTATCCATTTTGCTGTTTGGGCTAGAGTTCCTCCAGTGATAGAAATTTGAACCTCAGCCTCCTGATGATTTCATAATTCTCTAACCATTTGAAAAGGTAATTGATGATTTTGTCTTTTGATTAGGGTATCTTCCCATCAACCTACATCCATCTCAAGGAGGCAACAGTGCAAGATGGCGGGTAGGTAGCCCAGATTTTTTTTTTTTTTGGCCACAATTCTGTTTTTTGAATTGCAAAGGTGTTATAGGTTGTGTTCTGTGAATCAAGTGTAAAGATTCTGCAAAGAGATGTCTTCTTGATTTGTTAGAGTATTCTCAAGTTTTATTTATGCAGAACAGTTGAGAACTGGTGAGAAGTAGTGCCTGGGGAGGTAGAGAGGTGAGGTTGAAGAAGACCTTCTTTTGGCAGCCCCAGACCACGCCTAGAATGAGCCAAGTTAAACTTTGGGGCCTTTTTTTTTTCTTTTTTAGCAATGATTAAAGAATATTAATGAACAAGATATACAAATGCAATGGGTATATATGTAAATATGGTAAGTCATAAATAATAGCTTGCTGGGCAGACCTTAAATGACCAACAATTATTTCAACCACTTTTCCGTAGACAACATGAGACAGTAATCCCTAGTGAACTTCCCTTGGTCCAGGAACTCACCTCCACTTTGCGGGAATGGGTGGTGATCTGGCATAGGCTGTATGTGGTAAGTCCCAATTCTCTTCTTTTTATTGTGCCCCTGCTCGTGAAGAGGAGATATTCATTTTGGAATATTTAGAGAAGAACATACAGCAAGTTTTTCAAAGAGGATATGAAAATGTCATATAGGATGATTGTGTGAATTTACTGTTATTGCATAATGCATGCATTGGAAACATCAGTAGTGCTACTGAATACAATTATTTCTAAATGTGATGTAATTTGGTTTTGCACATTTAAAACTAAATGGATAGAGAACTTAAAAAGCAGCGGGACTGCAGGGAGAGGGGAGAAAAGATTTTTCCCATCTTCTATAGCCATGAACTCTGTCCCAAAACAAATTACAGGTTCAGATGGGTAAGCTTCATTGGCGTTTGTAATCATAGGAACAATTCTGGAAAGCAGAAGGAAACCCATTGGACATGGTTACACTTGGATTCTCATCTACCTATTCATTTTTATTCAATTTATATCCTGCCTTTCCTTCAGAAACTCAAGTTGGCATGTGTAGTACTGTGTCCATTTTTTTCTTACAACCTTGCAAGGTAAATTGGTCTGAGAGAATGATGGCTGAAGGTCACCAAGTATACAGTACTTCCATGGTTGAGGGTGGACTTGTCCTTACTCTTAAGTCCAACATCTTAACCACTGCATCATACTGGCTTTCATCATACCTAGTAAGGAATAATGGGTGTTGCTCTCCAATGGCTTCAGTTCTCCATTTTATTTATTTATTTGTCAAATTTGTATAGCCGCCCATCTCACAAAACAAGTGAATCTGGGCGGTGTACAACAAAGCTAAAAACAGTAAGTTACTAAATGTCTATTATTACTATTATTATTAACTATAAAAAAGCTAAAAAGAGGAAATATTGGGCAAAGGGATGTTAATAATAATGGAGCAACCTCAGTAATTCACCAGTCCACTGGGGTCCCCAGGCCTGATGGCACAACCAAGTCTTGAGGGACCTTCAGAAAGTCAAAAGTGATGAGGCCAGCCTCATTTCAGGAGGGAGGATATTCCATAACGCAGTGCCACAGCAGAAAGGGCCTGCCGCCTAGGGCCCATCAAATGTAGCTCCTTAGCTGACAGAACCCATAACACGCCATCAATATGGCATCTCTTTCCAGAATCTGTGATTGTCAGCCCCACTAGGTAGACCAGAGCGAGAAATCAACTCCATAGGAAAGCTAAAACTACCTTTATGGCAGTTGGCTATAGTAACAAAATCCCACAAGTCTGATTGTGCTGTTCCTCCTCCTCCTCCTCCTCCTATTCCAGTGAATCGGGAAGGTGTCTATCTTAGCCACTTCCAAATGCTATCTCATTCTGAACTTTAAAAAAATTTCAGCCCCTTTTGCTTAGGTTCCTGTATATTTCCTTCAAGGCCATCTTCCTTACTCTCTGCAATGATTCCCTATTTCCTACTCAGAGGTTCTTCCTTTGGAGAGGGAAACTTACACATGTGCTGGAACTAAAAGTCAAATGGGCAGAACAGCTGAACTGCACAATCACAGCCCTCCAGATCTTGCTTAACAAACTACAGTATACTTCCCAGAATCTCTCTCTATTGGCCATGTGTGCCGGGGCTGCAGGAAATTGGGTTTCAGCAAAGTCTGGAGGATTGAATTTACCCATCCAAGGTTGTCCACTGAATCCTAGTGCTAGCCTTTGATCTCAGTCTCAAACTGAAAGCACAGGAACTTTGACAAGCAAGATTTTTACAGAGCCTTAATTAACCCGTTCGTTGAACTGGGAAGAATGTGATTACAAGAATTTCAGCTGCTGAATTATTACTCAGAGAGAACTAAATTATGCCTAAAATATCCTTGGGTGTACACTTACTCAGTGTCTTTCCTGTGAGGTGGCATGGAGGCAGACTTCTTTACAAGAATGGATGACTTTACAGCTGGCAATTTACCAAACCGTTTCCTGAACGTTTATCAGCCTGTGAACTAGATAGATAGATCAAGTCATTTATACCCAGGTTCAAATCTCTACAGTACTCTGCCATGGGGGCCAGCAATTGTCTTGGGACTAATTACTATGATTGCAGCCTGGACTAATTACAAGATTATTGTGTAGATAAAATGGGAGGGCCGAGAAATATAAGCAAATGCAACCTATTCAGTGATCTAATATATAGGTGATTCATTTGGAATCAGTCTAACCTTTGGGGAAATGAGTAAGTGGCAGGCTATGAGTTTCCTATTAGTTAGTATATAATGACTTTGTTATGGTTTTTGTTTCATTTTCTGTTTATCTGCTCTAGGAGAACAAAAACTCCCTCTTTCGCCATGTACAGCAGATGACATATAGTCTGATTGAATGGCGATCCCAGATCCTGTCAGGCACTCTCCCCAAGGATGAGTTGGCTGAGCTCAAGAAAAAAGTCACAGCCAAAATCGATTACGGCAACAGGTAACAGTGGCGGTCCTTCTCAGACCTCAACCACATCCTCCGATTGGAGAACTAGAGGTGCAAACTTGAAAAGAAAATGCTACTGGTCTGTCTGTCTGTCTAGCTCTCATTGGATCAGCTTGTTTTGCTCAGAGCCTCCTTGATCTCATGAGCCCAGCTCTAAATTTGAGTTCATGCAGGAAGGGCTTATTAAAAAGAAATGGGTGGACTTTGGCTTAAAGCATTTTATTAAGATATATTGAGCAACCTCCTACTTCAGTAAATTTTGTTGGCTTGTTCAACTTCATTTGGTTTTCTTAATTGTTCTTGTTCTTGTTTGCTTATTTAATTTGATGTTTATACTGTCAGCTCCCATTATCCATCTCATTGATGCTGAGAATCAATAAAGGCCCTTTAGCTGCAAAGTATGCGCTCTACCACCAACTATGGTCCCTCTCTGCTCTTGACAGCTGTGGATACCAGCAGTCTGCTGGATATCTGAAGCTGTATGTTTTCAGTCCTGGTTCACTGTAGAGATTTTTCACCCTCTCCTCCCCCATCTTGCACACAGCATGTGTTTGCATGCAGGATCCTCAACTATCTAAAGTCACAGAAACAATTTTAAATAAAGACATACCGATTGGTATCAAGTTATGAGTCCCTATTTTGTGTGCACACCACTTTATTTTATCTGAAGTTCCATTTTGTTTTGGATCCTTCTTTTCTTTGTTCTCCTGCCCTTTTCTAAAGGCGTTCTTTATAGCTGATATGCCGAGCCTGATTTCACACTAGATTATGGGACAAGTGGCACATTGAGTGAATAAGCACAGCTTTGTCCATATGCCAAGGCTAGTGCTTGAGAAACAGGTGCTGGAGATCTTAATTCTCAAGAGCTCAGTAGGATGGGGATACCTCCAAAACTCCCAGACACCTATTTTCTCTTCTGCACAGCAAACATCCTGCAGTAGCCTGGCACTTTTTGGACTTTTACAATTCATAGCTAGAATGAGAAGGGCTGAGCTTGCAGCCACAACTCAATTCCCCTAGTCTGCACACCTGCCCCATTCATTCATTCATTCATTCATTCATTCATTCATTCATTCATTCATAGATAGATAGATAGATAGATAGATAGATAGATAGATAGATAGATAATAGATAGATAGATAGATTTCTTTGTCTCTTTGATGAACCCCAATTTTAATGAACTCCAGTATTGGGGTGAGTTTCCTGGAGTGAACAGTATTTAGGGACAGAAATTATGGGTTTAAGATAAAGATGGTGGGAGCATTCAGCACCACCCTAGTTGTTTTACTGTTTTTAAAGCAAGTAGTGGCATGTCTGCCTGGACTTGGAAGCTAAGCAGAATCAGACTTGATAATACTTGGATGGGAGATGACCAGGAAATTTCAAAGCTCCAGACTGTACTGGGAGGTTGCAGAACATCCCAGAAAAATGCAATGGCAAACTACTTCCATGTTGTTGCCAACAGAACTGCAAGATTGTCAGGCTTCTGGTCTAGACTGGAAGCCCTGCAGGCAGGGATCCCAGGATATAGGTAGCTCTTTTGGTAAGTAGGTTTATTGTAAGAACAAGGAAGGCTTTTCAAGAATAAATTCAGCAACTACAAAGTGTAGAGTGTAAGTCCTGTTTAAAATAGAAGCAAATTACAAATTTTGCACCTCTTCCTCTGCTTGAATGTTGCAATGGGTTAAGAACTTCAGCAGTGGCCCTCTGAGCCTTGTTAATGGATCTTTCTGGTTTTAGGCTGTTTGCCTCCCTCCTTGACAGATCTAGTTCTCCCACAGGTTGTGTCTAGAGATGCCCAACATTTGGATCACAAGAAAGCAAGGATGCTTTGAATCCAGCATGAGCGCTATCCAGCTAAGCTTTGCCACCATCCAGATAGCACACATTTTAGTGCCTGTGCCCATGCCAACCAGATAGTTATGGATATTTAGTTTATCTTGTGTTTTGGTTTGGTTTTAACCCTCTGTTCACTGCCTAGAGTCACTGCAAATGAGGCAGACAGTTATATAAATTGTTTAAATTTTTAAAAAATGTAAATAACACCTTAGATACTAATTTATTTGTAGCCAGAATGTTGCTTCGGGAGCAGCATTTGTAGAACTTTTCAGTTCTTGTTTGAAGCTTCCTTCAAAGATCACAGAGCTGCATAGAGGAAGGATTTGAAAACTCCTGGATACAACTGACCCTTAAAGTGGGATCTCTGGAGTTGGCACCTTCCCTGCTTCCTGTTCCAGCTTTTGTTGCAGACTAACAAAGTATATACACACTTCCCTTAGCTATGCAAAATTCATTTACATTTTCCTTGAATTCGTGCAGTGTTGCTTTGCCTTATATGAAGTTTTTAGTTACTGTAGCTTTCAGTGATATGCAGCTAGAAGTCGACTTTTAAAAACACTTGCAGGAAATAGATATAATCTGCTCTAGGATTCAGGTTCTTATTTAAATTTAATGTAGTTTAGTTGAAGGACGAGTGTCTTCAAATTGCAGAGGGCAATGTTATCTGTCCTAGGTGTGGGTTTTTAGGCCCCTCTCCTTGCTGTTGACTACTTTCCTTGTTTTCTTTGATTGTTGCAAGGATTTTGGGACTGGACCTGGTGGTACGAGATGATAATGGGAACATACTGGATCCAGATGTCACCAGCATGATTTCACTCTTTAAAGCCCATGAGACAGCGTCCAAAAGAATTGATGACAGGATCCAAGAAGAAAAGGTATGGCTTTTAGCATTTTTGTTTCCCTGTCAGGAAGCTGGCCATAAATAACTTGACCCAATAATGGAACCTGAAAAAGATTCATGCTGGCCTCAAAGGATATAAATATATGGTGAGGCTATGAATCAACAAATAGAACTTGCACTTCCTTCCCAACGTTTCAGTATCAGTACATTCGGTAGTTGCTGTGCTTTTTAGAGATGGTGAGCTCTGCTTGCCTAGGATTCACCTGGAAATTATACAAGTACTTTCTTCTTAAGGGGAGAAGAACTGAAATCACTTTCTGACCCTATCTGAACATTTCATCCATGGCAGCCCTTGAAGGAGTTCCTTAGGTGAACAAACAGAGAAAGAGATCCATTGCTTTATCTGGAGCAGAGTTAAAGGCTGAGGCTCTTGTGTAGTGGAGAACTATGTGGTAAACATGCATTCATCGATTAACTTGCTCAGATTTCCCCCGTTGTATAACCATCTTCCTGAGTCCTGTTGAACACTGATTGCCTGAGTTAGCTCAGCCTTTTACATGGTCCTTAGGCTGGATTTGAAGCCCATCAGATTTAATTCACCAAACCGCAAGAGGGAAATTCTGATAATTTGTTTCATGAATGTGTTGCAAGCATGAACAAGATAGAGCTGCGTTTAATGCATGTTAATAAAGTAACCATGCTGTTTCAACATTCCTAATAACCCATGGAAGAAAGTTTAGTATGGCGGCCATGTGATGAGGAAAAAACTTCATAGTTTCTGTGGTTTTTGTTTGATTAACCTCTTGATTTAAATTTACAGGTAGACCGAACAATATTTTGGAAGGGGAAGATGTGTGTGTACCTTATGGGTGATATATTTGGTGACTGGCATCATCTTAGAACTGAGAAAAGAGAGAGTGTCTTTACAAGATGATGATTGCTAGCTACAGCTTTTATCATTATACGTATTGACTACTGTATTTATGAGTGGGTTTCCAGATAATTGGATGCTTCTTTTAGTTGATCAAAAAATTCATTTAATTACAGCTGTAATTCTGCATACATACTGCCATAGGGGGTGAACACACCACATTTTCAGTTTTGAGGAAACTCTTCCAAGTAAAACAGTCTTGCTTAGATATTGGCTGGGAAAATAGAGAGTTTCATTTCCAGGATAATTTAGCTCTTCCTACATTTTAACTTGTCCTTTAATCTTTCATTCCCAACCAGTCTCGTCAACAGAATGTAGACCTACGGGGACAGTCTATCTTTAATACCACCCACACTTATAGCCTGTACATCAATTTCAAGAATTTTGTCTGCAATATTGGTGAGGATGCAGAGCTGCTTATGAGCCTTTATGATCCCGACCAATCCAAGTTTATTAGGTATGTGGCTAGTAGAATGCTTTCTCTAAAACATTTCTTACTATCAGCAGTATGTTGGTTGTAATCACTGAGATTTTTTCAAGACTTAACTTTAACACGTAACAGTATCTCATGAAGGCCTGTTGTGAACAGGTAAAGCTGACTTTTAAGCTGGAAGCAAACCACTGTCTTTTTTCATTCAAAACCCCAGAAACCTGAGACTTATCCACTGTAACTGGATAAGATGGGAAAATACATTTTGTTGCAAACAACAAATGAGTGCTTTATATCTCTTCTATCGAGTTCTCCTTTGCTGATCTTTTTCCTAAGCAACCAAAAAAAAAAAAAAAAAGGGCTCAAACACTGCATTCTCCATTTAGGGGAATTCTTCATGCCCTTGTTCTCTTTTTATTTCTTTTGGACACTGGCTCACAGTATGTTGTAATCTATAACCAGAAAGACTTCCTTGTTTTGTTTCTGTAAATGCCAAAGCACCTGAAGATCTAGTTCCCTTGGACACACAACTTGGGCATAAAATTGCCTTGTCATTGTTTTAATGCTGGGCAAAGTGATTTTCAAAGTCCTGAACATCATAACTACTGTCTATTATTTTTATTTTTTAGTGAAAACTACCTGGTTCGTTGGGGAAGTAATGGAATGCCAAAGGAAATTGAAAAGCTTAACAACCTTCAAGCTGTCTTTACAGTAAGGTCTCCTCTCTTTGCCTTGTGGGTTCTACCTACTGGCAGATAAGTTCATTCTTATAACTGTGTTCCTTCGATACCTTTGTTTTGATGGGGTCATTGGGCAACGAGCCATGCTGTGAATGGGAAGGATCAACTGTTTAAAATAGATTATGTCTAGCAAGCACAATGGTTTGGAAAGATATCTTGGATCCATCTCTACAACAAAGCCAACTAGCTTTTTAAAAGGGTCATTTTGACACCGTACCTATACCTGGCTGGTTTTCAGCCACACCTTGGGGAAGAGCCTTTTCCAACCAGTGAGCCACCCAGTCTTTGAGCTCTGATTTTAGTTGGTTCCCTACTGTGTATGTCAGCATTCTCCAAAGTGGTCAATATCGACTCCCAAGAGTCAATGGGACTATCCATTGTTGTTGTTGTTATGAGTAATCTGCAATTAGATTCACAGTCTAAGACTGGTAAAGATTTAATCATTCAAGTCCTAGCCAAGGACCTAAGAGTTACTAAGGCAGTGTCTGAGAACATAGGCAGTTCCAAATAGGGTGACTTTTTTTTTTTTTTGTAAAAGTAGGGTATTCAGATCAATATTCAAAGTTTCCAAATATTGAGGGAGTTCTTTAGGCATTGCTCCAAGGGCTCCAATCACAATTGGCATTTCTTTTTCCATAAGCGTTCAACTTCAATCTGCAAGTCCCAATATTTTGTAATCTTTTCCAATTGCTTTTCCTCAATCCTAGCATCACCAGTTGTTCTCGCTGTTATTTGTAGTGCTATTCGTTAGAGTGGTATTTCTTAAATTATTTTCATGTAATAAATGTTTGGGGGTTGATGAACAATCTGAAAATTCATGAAGGGGTTGATAAGCTGAAGAGTTTGGGGACCCCTGGCGTATGTGCCGGGCTTTTTGGTCTGTTTTGCCCCAGTCTTTCAATTTTGGGGGAACAAATCTTGCCTAAAACCTTGAAGATCTGCTCTCGGTTATAGCAGATAATGCTTGAGGTAAGGTAACCTCTATTGATTGGAGAATTTAGTCATTTTAAAGGCTAGTATGTATAGGAACATAATCATCAGGCAAGGCTCTGCATTCTAGAGTTCATGTTATTAACCACACCAACAGTTGTGGGCATTGAGCATTGCTTAGATCTACCCAATAATGCCCTCTCAGCCTTCCTTAGGGGAAAAAAAAGATTACCAATTTGGCTGCTCTATTTTGGGCATCTTAGCAACAAAGACCACTGTCCCCCAACTCACCCAAATTTCTTTCCTGGAAGAAGCTAGGATGGAGCTAGGAGGGAGTTGGTATTGCTTTGCAATTGCTGGGATGATACTCATCCATGCTTACAATTTCACTTTGGCAGAAAGTCCAAGAGGTAGATGCATTTCCTCTGCAGCAAGCGAGATGAGTGAATTTACCTAATCCAGCAAATAAAATTGCTTGCTGATTCATTCCCCCTTGGCACAAAAATACTCAGTGCATGAATTTTGGTAATTTGAACACTCCTAATAGAAGGCAGCTGGATGACCTTGGGACAGTCCCTCTCTCTCAGCCCTAGGAAGGAGGCAATGGCGAACCACTTCTGAAATCTTGCCAAGAAAACTGCAGGGACTTGTCCAGGAGTCAACATTGACTCAAAGGCTATAGATAGATAGATGGATGGATGGATGGATGGATGGATGGATGGATGGATGGATGGAT